ATCCTTTTAAAAAACATAGAAATTTGAAAATAGTTAATTATAATATATTCTTTTTTTATTTTATTGTATAATTTCCTATTTTTTGGGTACTAATTACTAATCATAAAATCCCAACATATAATAATAATAATTATACAAGGATAACTATTGAGTGATACTTGGAGCTTTAAAAGGACATTTTTATCTTTTCTTATTTTTTGGGCCATAATAGGTGTTTAAGAAAAAGGTTCGGGAATTTGCATGTAATTCTTGTCTGCTTCTTTTTGAATGTAGACTATTTTTTGGTACCTTTTCAATTATATAGACATGTCTCATCAGAAACGCCAAATTTAGTGTCTATTTCTTTTTAAGGGGTTGAAAACACAAAAATGTGGGAATTTGGTGAATAATACTCGTCATTGGCCTAAATCATAATTTAAAAGTGTTGCGGACTTAAACTTTCAAACGTTTCATAAATTGTTAAAGGACAAATATATGCTAGCCTCAATTCCTCCAATCATGAAAAACTTCTAATTGCATGGTGCAAGAAAACAATTACATCCACATCTTATAGTTGACATGAAGACCATTAGTCTATTGTTATCACTCAATTGGAAAATTGTTGATTATTAAATCCAACTTTTACCGGTGTGCATAAGTAATCTCAATTGGCATCTAGTGATATTCTACAAAATTGTTCTACTTTTTACCTTTTGTTGGTTACACTTTCTTTTTTGGTTTCCTTGTTTTAGTTGGTGCACTTTAGTTTCTATTAAAATTTTAAACCCGTATAAACTTTTATTACCAAAACCTCACTTACAATACAATCTTACTTTTATTTGCACACACACTATCACTCATTCTCTCCTACCCTTAATAGTCGATCTCTAATAAGGAACGGAGTTAATATGAACTTTTAATCAATTGCGTAATTTTATTAAAGTTAAAATACATCCTTGAAAAATTTGGGGAACATTCCATCAATTAGTCTTAATAAATTATAAATTTGTATAACTAAATTATAGAAGAGTTTAATGATAAGTCATAACTAAAATTATAAATATGAGATTTTTTAGGGCCTATGTGATGGAGATTGAAATGATATGAAAAGTTGCTTCAATTTACTCCTTTGCATCTATTTCAAAAATTAAGCTAAACAATTTAATAATTTAAAGCTCGAGCGAGGTCATGTATGTGTAGATTAATTCAATCAGTCACTATGAATTTAAACTAGTCATTCAGTCACCAAGTCTTGAAAGGATGAAGAATCGAACTCCTAACTCTGACCGCAACTCACCAACTCCAGTTACATTGAACAAGCCTTAGATTCGAGCAAAGAGGCAAAGTGATAACTATAAATGGAAATGTGTATAAAATGAGTCGATTACATACAAGTTCATACACGACAAACTAAATAACAAAATCTTCAAATATGCCAATTATTGATCTCTCCTTTAGTTTTTGTTACATATTACCTCATTGACAAAGACACCACTTTGCATAAAATTGGCAGACATAATAGATAGAAATTGTCATTTTTTAAGTGGAAGTAAGCTAATGAAATTATATATATGCTCGACAAGTTACTGATTTTACATGCAATATAGCACTACCTTAGCCCTTTTTAGTACAACATTTAGCTAGTTGCATGCATATATACAAATTGTCGTACAAGTTATTACAACTTATTTTCTGATGCACAATGTAGTAACGTGGTACATGTGTACGCTTTTCTATTTTAGTTGGTTAACATCAAATAGTGGGATTTTAACAATGGACATATTTCTTGTAATTGATGTTTTTTCACCCATCAATTTCGATCTATGATGACGTACAATTTTCATAGTATAAATCATTATGAGATGAAATTTTGTACATATATTTTGGATAAACTTTTTACTTGATTTTTAATAAACCCGAAAAAGAGTATGATTAATTAATAAGGATTTCGGCATTTCGCATAGTTTTGTTTTAACCATTTAAAAAGAATTATAAAGTGTCCCCCTTTTTTTTTTTTTTAAGGAAAATTATAAGTGTCAATTCATAGTGAAGAATTTTCAAAAGGTAAAAACCTAATTAAACTACCAGTATTTAAGAAATAGTTATGACAATCTTTTTCACTAGCATATATTCTAATTGTTCTAGTTAACTTATATAATTGGTGTGCTTCATCCTTCAAGTTAAGGCATGACATCTCTAACATATTGAATATTGTATTATCTTGAAAAGGTTAAGAAAATCATATACTCAGTTATCTTCCTTAAAAAAGCTACTCCATCCAATACTGAAAGAAGGTCACATTTAGTGGTTCTATACAGTTAACAAGGAAAATAAGATAGTGAAAAGCAATGATTAGATGTCATATATGTCATATATTAAGTTAATTTATACTTTTTATATATTAAAAAGCGTTCCTAAAATAGAAAATGTGTCACGTGTCACTTTTTTAAAACCCTATAAACATGGCATGTCAGCACAAATATAATGCTTATACAAAGACTTGAAAACCTCGAAACCAACAAGTCTTAAGTTACAAGTCTTACCACCTTAGCCATTCATTTATTGTGGTTTTCTACCTAACAGAATTATAGTTAATTTAGATAAGATAATTAGTGTTTTATTGTACTATTTGTTTCAATTATGTAATGATCATAAGACGATTTAACAACTTAAATTTTGAAGTTTGAAAAACTCTGTATTATTTTTTCGATTGATGAAAAATACTTCCTCTGTTTTTTTATAAGTTAGAGTTGAATTTGCACATTTGCCGAGACACAACTTTGACCATCAATATCTTTAATTAATGGTTAGTAAAAATCATGAAAAAATTAATTTATAAAAGTAGACATTATGACAAATCCAACAACATATTATGTGATCATATTTATATATTATATATTGGTAAAAAAAGTTAAGTCAATGATGACATATGTAATTATGTATAGTGGAAAATCCCACCTCTAGCTTATAAAAATAAAAATGGAGGGAGTAATAATTTTATTTTTCTATTAAACAATCAATAGTTGTTGAATGTCTTTAAATCATAACATATCATATATTGAATATGGTTCTCAATACAAATATTCTTTCAAGTTATGAAATTTCAAGATAATTATCAAGACACTAAGAAATAGTCGAACATGATAGGCAAACTAAACAAGTACTCTACAAACAAGCAACCTGAGACATTGCCCGGGCCACACACTAGTTTAACTTTAAAAATAGACATATTTGCATTGGGAATATGTAATTATCTTTGTAAATAGAAATAGTTGCATTAGAAGTATGCAAATATTTTGAAAATTGGGGATAGTTACATGGAAAGTATGTATGTATGAGGGAAATATGCACTATTACGGAAACAAAAATAATGGAGAAATTTGGATTCAATGTAAACAATATGGAGTATTTATTTTAATTTAAGAAATAATTGAAACGTAGCTATTAAAAGGGACGCCTTTAGGGCTATATATAAGCATTAAATATACTTCCTAAAATGGAATTAAGTTGAAAATTCATAACAAAATCACGCACAAATCGGTATAATTAATGTTAATCTATTCTCAATATTTCCTTTTTTTAGTTTCTGATACATATATAGCCCGTATGTTTATCATTTTCCATAGAAAAAAAATATAATTTGTCTAGTCCATTTATACTAGCTCCAAATGCAAATATGCATTGGTAGTTGGATTTATTTTTTTTATTTTTTTTTGGTGTATTTTTGTATATTTAAATAAGGCAAATTTGGTTTTGAATTACCTTTCTTTTAGTACTTATTAAAATAAATACGGATTATCTTTTAAATTTCTTAATTTAACTATCTTTTATCTTTACTCTTTCCGTCTCATTAGAATTGGTTATGTACACCCGGCTATACCGTACATTGGGGGTCATTTGCTTATTTAATCAACAAATGAGCAAATAATTATTTGCTCATTTGTTGATTAAATAAGCAAATGACCTTGGGTGTACGGTACACCCGGGTGTACATAACAGGTTCTCCCGTCTCATAATACAATGTCTCTTTTCCTTTTAGGTAAACCAAAATACAATGTCTTTTTTTATTTAAAGGTTGTAGTTTTTGACATTATTACTCTCTTTTTGATGAGTTGTCATCTTTCTTTTCTTTTCTTTTTTGTACTTTTAACATCAATTTTCAATATTTTCTATGTCTATCCCTTCAATTATTCTCAATTACTTTTTCTTTCCCTCTATCTTTCTCTAACCCCACATGCACATATATATATTTCTAATCATTAATTTTAAGGAATTTACAACATTCTTAATTCTCGCGTAAAAACCCAAAGAGGCAATGTATTATGAGATGGAGGGAGTATTACATACTCTATTCATTCCCGGAAGAAGGTTACGTTTGGTGGTTTTATACGGCAATAGGGAAAATAAAATAGTAGAAAAAAAAGATTAGATATCACATATATCTAGTATTAAGTAATTAAATTAACTTTGAAAATAAGAAAATTTGCATTGGGAGTAGGTGAATGTTCTTGTAAATAGTAATAATTGCATTGAAAGTATGTAAATATTTTAATAAATGGGATAGTTGTATGGAAAATATGCATAGAGGAAAATGTGTAAGAAAATAATTGAAACATAACCATCAAAGAACTCCTCCAAAAAGAGCAAACGTAACCCTCTTTCAGAGGGAGTACTCCGTATTAATTAGTTTTGCAACCATGAGTTTCATCAAAAATAATATATATTAATCACTATTCATATACTCCGTACAAAGTATGTATTTAAACCTCCTTTTATATTCTTCGCATTTTATGCTGGATTTTGCTATTAAAAAACCCAAAATGGCTTCAACTTTGCCAATTTTGAACTTGCAAAATGACCCAGTTACACCTAACCTCCACCACCAACCAACCCACCCCCACCCCCCGGCCGAGGTTGTGTTACTCTTTGCTTGAACTTGCAAACATTCGTGTCAGCCTAACAAACACATACAATGTGACGCTTTCCAAGTGAATATCGTCATTTTACACCTTCAGCAAACGGAAGAAAATATACTAGTATATCAAGAGTCTAGAGTTGAGTCTAAAGTTGCATATTTCCAAAAAAACTGATTACATTACATTACCGATTCTTCTCAGACCTAGTATAGAAAGTTAGGGCCTAATTCGGTTACAAAAATAGTCTATATAGAACTCAAATTACAGACAACTATATACAAAGAATGGCTGCTAAAAAACAGCTGAACTAATGGTATGACATCTGGTTTCTTCAAATTGTAAAATAAATTTCTAAAACAATTAGAAGGGACTAACAGCACGAGCCAATTTCAACATAAATTCTGGCACAAGGCGTTTCCTTTGAGGTGCCACTGCATCATTGGCAAGTGCTTCTTCATCTTCGGCATGAATTATAGCAACTAAATCTTCAAACATTGGGTCATCACCACCCCTCATTGGATCCTAATAAGCAGAGTGCAAAAATTAAAATATTGCAGCAGATACAAGACACAAGTTGATAGACAATCAGCCAACCTCATACTCTAGTCCTATAGCTCTTCCAATACATAAGAGGAGGGGGAGGGGGAGTGGAAGAAATAACAAGATCCAGAAAGCATGTACAGGACATACGGAGAATCGTGGTTTCTATAGTAAGCAGTGGATGCTCAATGTTGTTGCATGCCAACTCGTAATTGAAAGGCTTTGAAGGTGTTACAAATATCTCAGTATTATCTGAGTCTATTATTAAAACTTCAGGAAAATTATATGTATATATAATTGCTGAAATAAAAAATGAGAAAATGAGAAAGCCGCTAATATCCCAACACATGTCATTTTCAAAATATGAGAAAGTTGAGAATAAAAAAAGGAGGGAATTTGAATTTTAAACCAAGATGATGTGTTAGGATATTAGTGGCTTTTTCATTTTTCATTCTAGCAATATATATATATATAGAGTCAAATGAAAAGGTTTTTATAATGAGAAGAATGAGAAGGAATCTGATGCGTTTAAATAAAATAATCTAATGGCTCTCATTGCATACTTCATTAATGGCAAAAATGTAAATATCTCTTTCCCTACTTTCTTTTCTATTTTCCTCATTCCTTTCCTTCTCCCTCTTTCCTATTCATATCTCTTCCCCATTTTAGAAGATGTTCTAAAAGGATTACCAAGGGGACTCAAGTAAAAATGAACATTGTATATGCTTAATTTTTAATCTAAATCTGCATTATTCTTGTAAAATTTGTGCACGTTTTTAATCTGATTTGTGCATATTTATTGAGTCATGTGCAAATTTTTTCAATTATATATGCATACTGCTAGTTGAACATTCTCCGGATGACGTCGTCGACCGTTAATCCTTATTATTAGGTTTACAAGTTGTTCATGACCACTACTACTTTCTCATCTCTAACATTATAAGTTAGAACTCTGAATACGCTTTAATGGAGGAGAGAGAGAGTTCATCACAATGAAGAGGAAAAAACAATGGAAAAATGACAGAGAAACATGAATGTGCATAATTGTTTGAGTTACATGTGCATAATATTTGAGTCAAATATGCATAATTTTTAGGAGAGAGAAAGAGAGATAAAATAATGTATATGTTATAGAAGAGAGGTGTTCGGGGAGGAGAAGAAAAGGTTAAAGATATCATACATATAAATTCTGAAAAACAAATGTGCATAATTTTCAAACTAACTGCAAATTTTTTTTGTACGAAATGTGCATAATTTTACAAAGATGAAATTTGATCGTTGGATTAATTTACAAGGCCAAGATTCCTTCTCATTCTTCTCATTATAAGATCCTTCTCATTGGATCTCAACCATATATATATATATATATATATATATATATATATAGGGATTTGCTAGAATGAGAAATGAGAATATGAGAAAGCCAGTTAAAAACTGCCACGTGTCTCATATAAAGTACAAAGTACATAAGAAAAGAATATTTGCTTTTTTAAAAAATAGGAAGTGGGACATGTGTCAGCTTTTAAGTGGTTTTCTCATTTTCTCATTCTCATTCTAGCAATTCCCTATATATATATATATATATATATAATTTTTTTTTTTTTTTTAAAAAAAAAAAGGAAAAAAACCTTAATGGAAAGCTATATTCTATTTTGATTTATAACAAGGGTTGGTTTGAAACTTACTAAAAACATCGTGTATTCCTTTTACGGATTTAAGATATGCACCTTAACTAATTTAGTTACTACCTTATGTACAGCATATATGGTCTTATATTTTCCATGATGACTAAAAACAAATATAACAGTCAAATACTCAAATATTAATGGCAGATTGGCAGGAGTAATATGTTGTGGAATATGCATATCATGAATGAGGACGGAAGGAATATTACCAAATACTATAGCACAACAACAACAACAACAACAAATCCTTAGTCCCAAAATGATTTGGGGTCGACTAACATGAATCATAATATGGAACTGTGCGATATAGAGAAAGGGACATAACAAGATAATCAATTGAAAGAGTTTGAAAAAAGGGAATAATCAATTGAAAGAGTTTGAAAAAAAAAAGTGAAAAAAATAAAGTTTTAAGGGAGTGGTAAAAACGTGCGGAAAAACAGGAATGAGGTAAAATAGTAAAAGTAAATATTATAGCACTACCAAGCCTCAAATAAAGGTGATAAAATTGAGACCTAAAATGAAACGGATGATGGAAATATGTAAAGAAAATGCGAAGGGACTTACAATTTAGCCCCAGGATAGGAAACTATCACTAAGAGCTAAGAAGACTGCTAACAGTCAAAATTTACCTGGAGAAAAACATCAGTATGAGTCTTTCCTTCATACAATATTGCTTGAGCTTCTACGCCAAGTCCTTGCAGTGTTTCAGCAAATTTTACGCTGAAAGATGCCAAGTTGATATTATTAACCAGAAAACCAGGGGAATAAAATAATAAATAGTACAAATAAAGCAAAAAAGATGGACCAATAGCTTTTTCATAAGGAAAAACATGAAGAACAGACTGATACATCAGAAATGGTAGATGCTTTAATGACTGGAAAATAATTGATTAGAGGAGCAATAATGGGTACATATGGAGGTTGATGTGAAGGCAGTTTGACTTGAAAGTAACACTAGTGTTAGTTTAATATTATCCTAATCGCTAATCTCATATTTTCAAGTAAGTTGAAAAAAAACTGTGCAAGTGTTCAGAGTTAGCATAATAGCTATCATCTGTAATATCTGGAAGGCAACGTAGTCAGTGAACTGGCATCAGGAACTGCTCTGTATTGATAAAGTTGAACAAATAATAAAACATGAAGTTAAGAGTAGGATTTATACAGTAAAGGCAAAGAATATATGTAAAGCTGTTTAAAACTGGTTTGCTAGGATACACATGTAAATGTAGCTTTTAATGCTTCTTAAGTTCTTAGGCTATTAAAATAAATATTTTAAAAAATAATCCTATTACCAACAAGCTATCGATGCGTTTTATATAGCAGCTTAGCAATATTCCAATTATGTACAAAAAAAACAAAAAAAAAAAAAGCCAGCACTTAACAGTTTACACATTCTTGAAAAAGAAGGGGAGTGGTGAGATGAGGGAGAGAGATACCTAGCGTCTGATGGAATGGAATAGTCACCAGTCCCGTGGAATAGGGTCATTGGAGGTAATATTGAAACAGCACTTCTAACATTTGGATCCTGCACCACGACTTCAGGCGAGTAATGCCGCAACGAATGCTCCCCACCCATAATACTAAACCAGAGGTTAGATAAGGCTCCATGTAAGCATTATAACAAATATAAGGAGAGACATGGGCCTAACCTCAAAAATATGGAACGGTATAAACCCCTACTGTGGAAGTGATCAACTAGGTTTAGCAAATTGTACCTGAATAGTGATTGAAATCATAAGAATCGACTAAAGTAGGTTCAATCAAAATCAGACAAGCTTACTTCCAACAAAATGAATAATGAGTTTGCACCAAAACACAAGTTAAACAAATTATGTTTCACCCCATTGGTTTAGAAAGAAGCATTCACACAATACAGTATTTGAAGGCACAATTTGTGTTGTTATTCAGAAGTGCAAGGCCAAAAAGAATTGGATAGAAGCATTATATAACCATGAAGCTGTGACAAACAAAATTAAGAACATACAATGTAATGAGACTAATGACCATCAACAAAGATCATCAATTCCTTCTGAAGATTTTGAAGGAAACTCCCAATTGAGAAACAATAGGGGCACTAACTTTTAGCTCTCCATACAAGCTTCCATAGAATAGACTATTTTGAATATTAGACAAAGCAGGAGAAAATAAAACAACAGCTGATGCAACAGAATGATTTAACTGAACTTCATTTACTGGTTATACATGACAGTAATTAGTTCCTGGCAGCATTTTATACTGCATAGAACAAAAATAAGTTTGGTTTAGATCATAACATATCCTTTGAAGGAAAAAATGACAACAAAATTTTGAAATGTCTTTCAGATCTCAAGTAGTTCTCAGCTTATGTTTTAGAGATAACACTTGACATTGGAAGATTAGTTGCTTTGTTTCAGGTTCTAAATGATATATAAGTGAACAATATTGACATCAGGCCTCTGCCATACACTAATAAAGGCATGCCAACCAGGCAACTTTACTTGGCAATCTAATTCGCAGCACACACAGGCATTCATTAGCTCATGTATCATGTTTATATTTATGCATTGGATTTTGACTGAGGGGACAAAAGGATTTTCATTATCATAGAAAGATGCCAAACCAATGAAAATTTATGAGGATAACATCAGTCAATTACTTGAATATAAGTTGATTCAAATAAATGGAAGGATTTATGATTCTATACCAGTAATCAATCATTTTACACTAGTATAAGTTCAATGAATTTGGATTTTAATCTGCATAATCATATGCAAGCACATACATACCCTCCTGATAATCCAAAATAAGCTCTTATCTGGGAAACACTCCAAGAAACACTTTCTCCTTCACCACCTGCCTCTTTGATGGCTTGCTCAACAAGAGTGCAAGCAGAAATATGAGCACCAGCTGACTGCCCCATCAAATATATCCTGCAGTGTGGAGGAGAAAAATAAATCAGTAAATCACAAGTCCAAATAAAGTAGAAATCTTTCAGGGACAAAAAATGAGGAAATTTTGAAAATTTAACCAGCAGTCTACTGTCTACTACGATGATTTATGTTGACCATATTACCTATTAGGATCACCTCCATATTCTTCGATATTATTGCAGACGAATGATATTCCACGGGAAGCATCTTCTATCATAGCACTCATTGTACCCTGAGGAAAATTTCTGGATGCATGTGTTTACAGCAGCACAATCATTATGAAATTTAAGCAATACTCAGTAAACACAGATAATTCAAAAGATTATTGCCAAGTTTTACTACCACGATGCATAAATTCTTTTCCACTTTGATATCCATTGTTTCTTGTTTCTCTTAGTAATGATGACATTCACCTCTTATTACTATGGTTCATATGATTATTTAATTTTCGTTTCCTTTCTTTTTTTTCTTCTATAAATAGTACATCCAGATAAATGAATGTGTTAAGCAAATTATGCAACAGAAATTAATTTAAATCTATAAATTACAAAAATAAATTGCAGCAAGTGTATGAAAAACCATTACCAGCAGCATCAATTCGAGGAGCTATAAGTATTCTTGAAATCACATACCTATAATCAATGCATGCAACAATAATGTCTCTATCAGATAATTGTTGCCCCAGAAGAGAACCCCATGCTTTGTAACTGCATTAACAGTGACACAAACTTCAGAACACTAAAAAACTTAGGCAATCAAATGAACAACAACAGAGTCTAAATCACAGCTTATCTTTCACCATAGCATCTTACTATCTTAAGTCTACTACTTCAAAATTTAGATTCGAAGAGTTACTGTACTGGAATTAATGTGGTTGTTTTGTGCTAAAAATTGATTGTGGTTAGATTTAGTCCACAGTTCCACACATCCCCCTGATCCCTTAAGAGTGGGAGAAAGATAAGGGAGCCCCTATATCTAAAAGGTCTAGTGGATTTGAGGTCATTACAGGTATGGGATGGAGGAAGGAAAGGAGGCAAACTATTTGGGACGAAGGCAGTAAATTTTGTGATAAAAAATAAGTTAAGACTTTAAGGGTAAATACTTATTTTAAAAAGAACCGGACAAGTAATAGGAATGAAAAAAAATAAAAATAAAAATAAAATAAAAAACAGGAGTGTATTCATAATGCCTAAAACTATGTAAAGTTTGACAATAAAAATCATTTGTCCATGTTGAAAAATCCTGACTTCCAACATGAAACAACAGTACTATAAAATTCTTTTTTTTAGGCCACATATAAAAAACAAAATGTCACCCTATATACATTAGAAATGCTAACTTGGGGAGAACAACTGAGCAAGTATTTAAAACAGGGAACAAAAACCGTAATAACCAGCACAAGCCTCTTTTATATATCTCATATGCAAAGGTATAGCAGGATATCATAGAGATTTTTGAAAGCTCACCCAATTATCCAGGCTCCACCCGTTACAAATGCAACAACTGGCTTTGGCCCATTGTTATTCTTGGGCAAGTATAGATCAAGACTGCCAAATTCTCAGCATGAGCTTCATTTCAAAAAACGACAAATAAAGAAAATGTTCTGAACCAGTAGAAATTAAAGCAAAATTAGTAATAACTGTTTACATACCTGTTTCTAGGTTGATCACCATAGACTATACCTCTGCGGATACGACTTGAACAAAAATACTTATAGCCAACTGTAGGAGGGTAATTACCATGGTTCAGAAAGCAAACAATACACAGATAATAAATCCAACATAATTCAGAAGTATAAGCAATTAAATAAACCCTATCTAACATGGACAAACCTTGAATAAAACCAGGCATCAGAAAAATGGCATAACAACCAAGGGCAAAGAATCTTATGATCCATCTGTAACCTACCCTGGAAAAAGAAAAAATAAGCATGGAATAGCAGCAGAGATGATTACAATCATATTAAGCATTAGTTTGCAAACAAAGAAAGTGAAAACATCAACGCCAGAAGCCCAACATGCATCTTCAATCTAGAGGTTCCTGTGTATTCTAAAAGTTATTAGCTTATCATGCATGCATCAACTCTAATGTTCACAGGCCATCACAAAGCCATGGTGTAATCAATATACCAGGCCCAAAAGACATGCCACCTCATATTTCAGATACCATTAAACCTTATGACAGCATTTCAAGTGTAACAATCTGTTCCCATTGAAATTAATTTACCCCTCCATCAAAGCCAAGAAAGAAAGAAAGCTTCAGTTTCAGGTGACATGGCAGCTCTGGAAAAGTTTTTCAGAGACAAACAAGCTAGATTTGTCGACAACCATATATCTGTAGCTTAAGTCAACAAATCTTTACATCCAACACCACTGCATAAATTCGTTGACAGCATTATATAAGGGGCGTCACATTACCATATAACAAAATGCAAACAATCATAACTAAATCCTCAAAAAAACATAGCTATCCTCGTTAATCATACAACCACTAATTAAAATCAGTGGCCCTGCACATTGGGAGTTGGGGACTTTGTTAGATTTGCTCGTGGATTGCATGAATCTCCATTTCAAGCATAATAAAGATAAGGCTATTAGATTATGGTTAGAAAGAAGCTTTATACCCATCATACAGCTCAGAAAAAAGAAGATTTTTTCTATATTTAACCAAAAGAAAAAAGGATTATACTAACAGCTCAGAAAAAGTAGACAAGATATCCTCTAAAATTGGACTAAGGGCATACTTTCTATTCCAAAGAAAAATGAGGTAATCGAACAAAAATGCAAGACATTGATTCACTAATTGTTCACCTTAGTTTGGATATAAATAAATCCACAGAACTTGTTTTATTGCCATCCCTCCAAACCGCCCAACAATGTGTGAATCAAGCTCTCAGCAATGTCAAAAGATACATTAGGCTAGGCCATTAATAATCCTCTTTGCTTTCTAAATATTGCTGCTTAAAAGACACCTCTCCAGAGTCCAAAGAATCCTACACACTATTTATTCGCTTAACACCATACGTTACTTAGACTCGAGTACAAGCAACTCACACAGATAGATGTGCATTCCTAGAATTGCCATCTATTCAAATTCAAAAACAATTCTACTTTTTTTTTTTTGGCTTAAATAGAATTATAGAAGTGTCTAAGCATCATATACATCTCAAAGTGTCGAAACAAAACACCATATACTTCAAGTAAAATCCTTAACTAACGAATCATCCAACTTTTACTCAAAACATTTGAATAATTAAACCCTAAAACACTCAATAATTCAATAACCAACCAACAATCATAGATCAAATAAACTTATAATCACTTCCACAAAAAGTATCACAAAAAACTATCAACTAATATCAACATTACCCAAAACTTGAAATAAAACCATTTGAAACAAATAGAAAAAACCTTTAAAAAAAAAAAAAAACTCTGAAAATTCAATAGCCAACCAATAATCATGCATCAAATGAACTTACAATCACTTCAACAAAAAGAAACCCATTAAACTATCAACTAAAACCAACATTATCCAGATATAGAAATTAAAATTTCAAAATTAGAAAAATTAAGGAAAGTACCCCAGATAACCAAGAAGCTTAAAACTGAGACGAGTGATCAAAAAAGTCTCAGCAGCAGCATGCTCAACACTGGTAGCAACAGATTCACCCTCATTTTCCTCCCCATTTGAAATCAAATGCAGATTATCATCGCTAGCGCTTCGGCGGCGGCGCTGTTGTTGGGTGGTTGAAGGGGGTGATCCTCCGGCAAAGCTGAAAGCTTTAGAAAGAAGGGGTTTTTTTTCAATGGAATTAGAATTAAAATCATCATCAATTTGAGAAATTAGAAGATGGGAAGTGGGTAATTCATAATTAGATCTTTGAACAAACATTGTTGAAGAACCCAGAAATGATGATGATGGGTGAATATGATTATTGTTATTATTATTGGTTATAGGAAGAATTGGGGGTTTAGATTTCATCATAATCATCTATAAATAGGGGGAAAATTTTGGGATTTCTTTTGGGATTTTTTTTGGGAAATGGATTTGGTAATAAGGTGAGCTGTTAGTTTATTGGGCTTAATTGCCAATTTTGTTTGTGAATGTGGAGATGATGAATTGATGATGACGATGATTAGTTAAATGTATTTGCATCAACAGCTAGCAGAAGAGGAAGAGAATCGAGGAGAATAAAATAAGGAAGATTGCAAATCATGCAATGGTTTTGTTTAGAGTTTAGTGATTGGAAGATGGTAATTTGGAAGACTTGTGATAGGGCCTAGGCCTAGGGTGAGGATGGGACACGGGGGGTGTCTATTCTACATCCGAGGATGAAATATGTTTCAATCTTAGATGAAAGTTGTTAAGAATGTAGATAAGAAGCTGATTTAGGCACATTAAAATTTAATTTTGACACACATATTGTGAGGGATTGGCTAATTAACTTTTTCCGTTGCTATAGAGAGACTAACCGGTTAGCTAATTATGGCGTGATAGCGAATCAGAGGTTGACTATGTTTTACGTGGTCCGAAGGACTTTCATGCCATTTTATTAGAGGACCTGAGTGGTGTAGCATGGCCGAGACTGGTCCCTTCATAGTTTATTTTCCTTGGTTCGAATAAGCCTTGTGGCATTAGTAATTGTTTTGTTTTCGTTCCTTGCTTAGGTGTTGTTTTTATTTGGAAATAATCCCAACTAAGGATTATTATCTAATAATCCAATGGTCTAAATAACCGGTAACCTGCTGAAAGAGATTTTTTTTGTTTAATAGCCACATGTCAACACATAATTGGTCCAAAAAATTAAAAATTAAAAAAAAAAAAACCCAAAAATTCCCAGCCACCCCTTCCCCACCGTGAAACCCTAACCCCACCCCCTAACCTCGCCGAAAACCGGCTGGCCACCCCCCTTAACCACCGAAAATGGCAGGCCGGTCCTCTAACACCTATCTAACCCACCCCGACCCCCCTGAAAGTCTGAAACCACTCACCCAGCCCACCCCGACCCTCGAAACATGCCCTCTCCCTTCTTTCGCCGCCAAAACTGCCCCTCTTCCCTTTCCCCACCCTCAATAATCGGTTGTTTCGGCGGTGGGGAAAGGAAGGTGGGGCGGTTTTGGCGCGGTGGGGGACGGGAGAGGGCTTGGTGTTGAGGGTCGAATGGGTTGGGTTGGTGGTTTTTGGGGTTGGGGTGGGCTGGGTGGGTGGTTTCAGGTGTCGGGGGTAGGTTAGATAGGTGGTAGAAGGTTGGTCGGCTGATTTATGTGGTTAAAGGGGGGTGGACGATCAATTTCCGGTGAGGTTTGATTAGGGGATTTTGCTCCCACCAATCGGAATGCGCCACGTGGGCCAATCAGGTCCTGCCAAGTGTCCCCCAATTGGACCTCTCAGGGCTTGCCACGTGGCACACGCTTATTCGTCCACCCTGGACCTATTATGTCATGACACGTGGCATACTCCATGCCTAATGGAGAAGCCGGTCACCTAGGCCCAACTTCCGAGGGAAGCCCAATCAGCCCAAGGTTAACCTAAACCTAGATTGGCACGTTTCCCGAGGTTATAAATACCTCCCTTAATCCTCATTAAGGGAGATTACGCAGATTACACACATTAAACACTCTCACCTAGAGAGACCCAATCACTTTAATTTCCGCATTAATTACTCCTTAATCAAGTACTAACTTGACCGTCGGAGGCGGATCTCCAATCATCCGGAGCATCCGTTTGTTTTGCAGGTACAGGCGTCCGGTTCCAGTCTCGGAATTGTAACTCTCCCGCAGGACATCAGAAAACCCCGAAACATTTTGGCGCCGTCTGTGGGGAGAGTACTTCTGAGATGGCACCCACGTTTGTACCGGCTCCTGAAGAGAGACGTCCCCTGGACGATCCTCTAGTTCAATCGGACCACGATACTGAGAATGAATTTGAAGTTGAAGCTCACACAGCTTCAGACGGGACCCTAAGGGCCCGACGTACCCGTCATACCGAAAGGAGGGAACGGGAACATCTTCAAACTGGAAGCGAGCCAGCAGGCACACCGCCTGTTCGGCAGCAGCCGACTGATGGGTCTGCTCCCATCACAAGGAACGAACTCATGACCTTCATGAGGGACTTCAAGGGAGAAATTCAAGAGTTGATCAACAAGAAGCCGCCTGCTCTGGACAAGGAGCAGTCGGCTAAGAAACCCTCCACTTCACGGAAGAGGAAGCCAGTTCAAGGGCGAGAGGCGACCCCTCATCCTAAATCTAGGAAGTGGGAGCCACCTGCCCTTGATTTCACAAAATACCGTTTTCCTACTCCAGGAAATAGGAAACCTGTTCGTCATATTCAGGCGGACGGGTTGAGGAAAACATACACAGACGCTCGGCTACTGCTAGAGCAGAAGAAGAGTGACCGATTGTCAGAGTCGGCCTCTACTTCAAACTTCCAAGACAGTCTGCGAAATACCTCGATGAGGCATACTCAGTCGTATCATGAGAGTCAGTCAGGCGGCACCTCCCGTCAGTCCGGCTTTCATAGCGACCAGGCGGTACCAAACTTACCGTTTGTACCACAACAACAGTATTTTTTACAGCCACCTCCGTTTGGTGGACATGCAGCAAAAAATGTCCAACCTATGGACTGGCAGCTACGGTTGCTTAGACTTGGTGAACAGCCGTCGGCCTTCTCCAAGGAAATTACTGAAGTCGCTCAGCCGGCCAAAGTGAAAAATGTATTAGTAGGCGCCTATGACGGCACTACTAACCCAGAAGACCATCTGATGGCATTCACCAACCTGATGTACCTTCAAGGGTTGGATGATCCCACTTGGTGCAAGTGTTTCCCAGCAACTCTCAAAGGAATCGCACAACAATGGTTCGGCAACCTGCCGACTGGTTGTGTAAATAACTTCAAGACGCTTGCTTACTTATTCACCTCCAACTTCGCCATGAACATCCCTGCGAAGAAGACGACCCTTGATTTAGGAACAATTCAGCAGGGCGAGAAGGAGGGGCTTCGTTCTTACATCAGGCGATTTAACCTGATGAGAATACAGATTCAAGGGTTACCGGATGAAGTAGCCTATACTGACTTTTCAGAGGTCTCAAAGACGGGTCGACCTTCAAATTTGATTTGGTCCGAAAGAGGGTGGCGACTCTTCAAGAGGCCTTGATTGAAGCGGAAGCCTGTATACAGGCGACTGATCTTTGTAGTACGGTAAAACAGTCAGACGGGAAAAGGTCCGACAAAAGAGAAGGACGACAGAAGCAGTCGTCAAACAAAGACGAGAAGAAAAAAGAGGTCTGGGCAACTGATTCCTCTAAACAGCCGTCCCAGAAGAAGAAAAAAGAATTCAAACCATACTCCCCAAAGTATGTGTTTAACAAGGATACCCAATTTATCCTAAAGGAAATCAAGGGACGGATCTCAATTGAGAAGCCGGTCCCCATGAAGGGTTCTGCAAACAATCGGAACCAAGAAAAATTCTGTGATTATCATGAAGATGTTGGTCATCACACCAATGAATGCATCAGTCTCATGCGGTATCTGGACCGCCTGGCTGAGCAAGGTGACCTTGACACTTATGTCAAGAAATCTACGGGGAACACTTCCTCGAAAAAGCAGTCGACCAAAAAGAATCAACAGGCCGACAGCTCCGATACAGATGATGCAGTCGTCTACACCATTGCAGGCGGCTTCTCAGGAGGCGGCCCCACTATTAGGGGCAACAAAGACAATATCAGACGGTTAGATGTAAATTCCGTTCACCAAGAACGGCCCTCCAAATATTCATTTCCTGAGATTGTCATCACTGAACAAGATCTAGGAGGGGTAAGAGGGCCGCATGACGACCCTATCGTTATTGAATGTAAAGTGGCCAACCAGAGAGTTGGTCGAATCCTCATAGATACCGGAAGCTCCTCAGATCTCATCAGTAGCAAATGTCTGTCGAAACTAAAATATCAGACTGATTGCATACATCCGGCATCCTACCCTTTAGTAGGGTTTGGAGGAGGAGTCGTCCACCCAGTGGGACGAGTGGATTTACCCATCCGCCTGGGCGAAAAAGGGGAAGGACGACACATGGTAGTCCGGTTCCTGGTAGTAGAAGAACTCTCGGCCTACAACATGATTTTGGGACGACCAACCCTGAATAATTCCAAGGCTGTTATAATCCCATCTCTTATGTTGCTCAAGTTTGAGAGGGATAATGGAACAGTCGGGTCCCTAAGGGGAGATCAGAGGATGGCCCGAGAGTGCTATCTCTCGGATGTCAAGCCCACTGTTATGGCCACTATGTCGAGCGGTGGAAAAATAGACCTTGACAATGTCAAGGAGAGTGCGCCTGTTCAAGAAGCAGGCGACAAGAAGAGAAAGGCATCCCAGACAGGGGCCGCAAGAAAAGACAAAAAATAGCAATCAGTGGCAGAGGAGCGGTCGGATGAATTCTGCCCTCAGCCAGCTGGTGAGCATACGGACCTGATCTTAGATGACTCGCGTCCTGACAGAACAATCAAGGTTGGGACGACTGCTCTAAGGGACCTGGGTGACGACTTTCACAAACTATTGAAAGAATACAAGGACATCTTTGCATTCGAAGTCCATGAAATGCCAGGCATTAGTCCTGATCTGGCGGTACATAAACTGGTCGTGGATCCGAAAAAGAAGCCGGTACGGCAGAAGAAGCGGAACCATGGCGAAGAATGAAGTCAGGCGGCAGCCGCCGAAGTTAAAAAATTACTTGATGCAGGGTTCATTCGGCAATGTTACTTCCCAGACTGGGTTGCAAATGTGGTGCTTGTTAAAAAGTCGAATGGCACCTGGCGAATGTGTAGACTACACAGACTTAAACAAGGCGTGCCCCAAAGACAGTTACCCTCTGCCTAAAATTGATAACCTGGTCGACTCAACAGCCGGCCATGCTTTGATGAGCTTTATGGACGCCTACTCTGGTTTCCATCAAATTCCTTTATGGAAGAAAGATCACAAGAAGACGGCCTTCGTCACTGATCAGGGGTTATACTGTTACACGGTCATGCCGTTTGGTCTTAAGAATGCCCCGGCCACTTTCCAGCGAATGATAAACACTGTGTTCTTTGATCAGATTGGGAGAAATGTCGAGGCATATATTGATGATATGATTGTCAAGTCTAAACTTCAGAAAGATCATCTGTCGGACCTCTGAGAAACTTTCGCCACACTCAGGCGGCACCATGTCATGCTCAATCCCAAGAAATGTGTCTTTGGAGTTGAGTCTGGGAAATTTCTCGGATTCCTTATCAATCAGAGAGGAATAAAGGCGAACCCTGAGAAGGTGCAGGCGGTCATCGACATGCAGTCGCCTCGTACCATCCG